GCCCGACTACTCCATGATTACCCTCTGAACCCTTATGATTCGCACAACGTTAACACCACAGGAAACCCTGGACCGAAAGGATACACCGACTATTCGTTCTTGACTCGAAATCCCCATTTAGAGGTTTCGCGCGAACGGTTAGTACCTGAATGAAATAATCTCATCGTAGATATGCTTCCACCCAGTTTTGATTAAAGATACAGATTTTCAAAAATTGTGCAAAGATGCTCCTGAGGCAGGTCGGTACTGATGAGCATGTTCTCGAATGGTCGATATGAATTTTCACGCGCAAAATGATCTTCACCTCACCGTGAATGGCCCTGTGTGAAGGGAGATGCCTTGCTTTACGCGTTACGCACCACGTATCGGAAATGTACCGAGAAGCGAGTGCGGTCCGCGCGCTATGCTGGACTGGAACCGGATGTGCGCACGGGATTAATATTGCGGGATGGTTTCACGCTATTTCGCTCAAGATACGACATCCCCGGCCGCTCCTCCCGTTTATCACATGCAGCCATTCATTCCAGTATCCATTGCCGTGACGGCGAGTGCGAAGAGTATTAGAGCCCGCCCGTGGCCGAGGCCGCTCACAGCACAACTAGCAGCGCTATCCCACTCTCCTGGCCCAGCATGTACACATTCGCTGTCATTCTCGCGGCAATTTGCCACATCATAATCGCAACATTGAAGGGATATGGGATCTCTCCGAGCGCAGTCCAGGTAACATCGTCTATGGCGTCGATGGACTCCAAGATCGGGTACGTCAGCGTTGGGAAAAACTACACAAAGTACGGGAAGCTCGGGAACGCCCGTGGACCGGCGTTAACAGCGATTATTGCTGGGGGAGTGTCTATAGCGACGGATCATGTTGTTGCGGAAGACATCAATGGCTACGACCTGAGTCTTATTTCACGGCCACAAAACTCACCAACTGATCCATCCGTGCTTGCAGCTGGCCAGCATGAAGAGAAAGACGGAGATTACTCGAAGTGCGCGCCTAGTTCCCTTCATGAGACGCTGGATATGACCATTGCCTAAGCCCATGTATTTCCGTGCAACGCAGACTCCCACACCGCGTTGAACGCGAGCCTCAAGAGTTTCAATCTGCTCGATATTATGCAAAACAGAGCTTTCTCGGCTTTTAACTTTACACTCATTGCACGCGCCGCTTCGAGAAGAACAAGTACACACGCGCAGTGAACACACGCACTCGTTGCAACATCATAAATGCTCTTCAACAGATAGGAATTAAGTAGCCAAATGAGATTGTCAATTTGTCTGAACAGGATTCATATTCTCCATGTAGCTGGTTCCGTGGTTGTTTTCTGAATGGATGCCAGATTGTAGAACTCCCCGGCCATTCTCAAGTGACTGGAAGACGATTATGTTTCCCTTGGTGTACCCGTTCGCTTCCAAGGCAAAAAACCCGAGGTCCCTTCGTAGGTCGGTTCATGCTGGTCAACCGCGCGCAAAATGTGCTCTTTCTTGCTTGCCCAGTCGAATCCATTAACCGCACCAACTCTACGTACATGAAGAAGGGGGAATGAATAGGGCCTCGCGCCACACACGTGCGGCAGCCCGTTGTGCATTGCCGGAACAGGATTGGAGGATTCTAGATGTGGTCATGGCATCACGTAGGACAAGGTGTGAACGGATATGCTCCGCTTCGATGTGGGGTTGTATGAAAGTCGGAGCGGCCGAATACCCGCTGAATGTGAAACTTCCTCGAGGAAACGAACGAAAGAAGGTTCTTTGCTTCAATGCGGACCCCAATGAGGTGAGCTGGAATGAATTCAGCGCACCCAGCTGACTGGATTCGACGTATAGGTCTGCTGTTGAAGCGAGTATGAAATACCAACGCCGCTGTTGATTGCGTTCTTAGTCTTCGATACTGTCTGATCCATCGCCCACGGAAGGTCCGCGCCTTCTCTGAAGAACCGCACTTCGATTGTGTGCAATTGGACGCACGTTCGCACTCGTAAGTGGTTTGAATGAGTGCAGGGGACTAGTATTCATAATTGACTCGGGTTTTAATCTACCCCGGTATAAAAAGCGCGGCACAGACGTCTTGTATAATTCGCACTCGACACGTCCGAGAGCTCTTATCCATATCTTCTTTTACCTCGCAATGGCTATCATCTTCGTCCCCATGATCATCGCCTGGCTCGCGACCACCGTCTCGAATGGCCCGCAGATTGCAGTCACCCCAACCGGGATCCAGGTCACCCGTGCTCAGGGCGTCCAAGGCTACAACACCTGGGCATAGCTCAACCCCACCTCAGCCCAAGTGCTCGATCCAATCAAGATCGATACCTTTCAGTGCGATCTCAAGATCAACTCGATAACTGTACGTCCTATTTCCCATCTAGTTTTGGATATCAGGCAGTACTCACTCTCTCCAGGCTGCTACCGAATTCAAGCTCGAGCTGCCGAGTGCCGTCATCCTGCGCTGCACCGCGCCGTATGCAGGCGCCCGCTGACACGCCTGCAGCGGGTGTGAGCACGAAAATCAACCGGAGAGGTGGGGTGTGAATATAATCAACAGTGCTGCTCAACAGACAGCCGCAAGGGTTGTTGTTTTGCGAGGGTGTCCCAACAAGGATCAGGACTCGGGAATATGGTAAAAAAGGCGGCGGGCAACGGCGAGGGCAACAGAGGCGACGGAGACGGTGGAGGCGACGGAGACAATGGAGGCGATGGAGACGATATAGACGGTGAAGAGAGGCGGAATTTTCAGATGCTGAAATAGAGCACTTGGTTTTGGGGTGAAGAGAACTTGTCTTTGAAGGAATATACCGTAGCTACTTATAGTAAAGTCTCGAATTGATAAAGAACATATTGGGTCCGTGAAAAACACCTAACTACCCGGTAAGAAGCGCGCTCCCATCCAAAAGTGCCTGTTCCACATGTAAGTCTATAAAATACATGTTTCACCTTATTGGTCCCATATGGATGTGTCTGTTCGGTAAAATAATTCCCCAATGATGCCAATCTGAAACATAGAAAGGACTAGCAAATACTCTGGGCAGCGTGCAGCCGTGTGGCCAGCAAGCCGAGAGATAAATCAGCCACCAAATGCTGTGCACCTTAATGCAGCAGCAGTGCCACACTGATCGCTTACGAAGCCAGGGCGTGTCAACGCTTGTCATCTCCCTCCAACTGAAAATCTGACTGTCCTCAGTCAGCTTCCGGCGCACGAGAGCCTCAACAGGGCGAGTTTGAGAAGGGCGATTATATGGATGGGTTCAGGGTGTAGCGGGTGCATGGGGGGGGTCAGAGTTGGTCTTCACCTTTGCCCAGCAGCTCCGGATCGCTTTCTTCGTCTTCTGGATCGGCCAAGATCGACTCCTCGAGCTCACGTAACCGTTCTGTCGAGATGTCCAGCAAGTCTTCGAGAGGTGGGATTGGGATCTTGTGTCGCGCAAAGTATGGGATGACTCGAAATGCGGCAATAGGGCGGTGGAAGACAGAGCCATCGAGCTCGCAGAGAATGTAAGCGCCACCTCTATTCCTTGAGACGACAATCAGGGGTCCAAGATATCGCTTGCGCATTTTGCGGCTTAACGTCTTCTCGATTGCAGTGTTCCGCATCAGGACCAGATCGCCTCGCTGGAAGTTGTTGTAGTCGCGTATTGTATGCGCGTGTTCTCGCTCAAAACGGATCGCCTCCTGGACGCGGGCCTCGAGAACAGCGGAGTGAAGGAACGACAGGTGTTCTCGTCGCTTCTGCAGCGCAATTGCACGACGGGAGATGAGTTCCGTGGTCGATAGCACGGATTCTGGGGCGGGAAGGAGGTAGGTGGCTTCGGATATGTCAAGTGGAAGTAGCGGGTGGGCTCCGGTGACCGCAAAGAAAGGTGAGCAGCCCATCCTTCGTCGAACCGTGACTCTGTCGGCCCAGAAGACGGAATGTGCTGTTGTATGCCATTTGATTGGACGCCGTCAGCTGCTTTGAACAGGGACTCTCGTACATCAAAATGCGGACGCTCGGACAAGTTAGCCCGGGAGTTGTAGCCGGAAATGCGGATATGTCGGACGTTATACTGCTTTCCAGGTGCGTCAACGCTCTCACAAATGGGGTGCCATTATCTGTGACGATTTCCACCAGGGTGCCCCAACGGCACAGGATATCCTCGAAAATCCATGCGGCTAGTGTTCTAGCGGTTTCGCGGCGAAGCATACGCCATTCAGGGTAGTGGGTCAACGAACAGCGTCCTTGAACAATGTACCGGAAGCCGCCGCTGGTCGGGAGATGCATGGTGTCCATATACATCTTTGCGAAGATTGGTGCCGGCGTCGAGACCGTCGGAGGTATCAACACTTTTCTAGTTTGACGTTGCTGACACAAATCGCAGGTACGAACAAACCACACGATGTCCTTGGCCATATGCGGCCACCAGAAGCGCTCGGAGACCAAAGAACGGGTCGCATAGAAGCCCTTGTGGCCAACACCGTCGTGGGCCGACTGCATGATGAAAACTCGACGTGCGGGGGGCACCACAAGCTTGTGATGACCATGTGAGTGTTTTCGCCAGAGTGCGCCCTCGCGCAAGAAAAACTCCATGGAGTACCGGACAAACGACTGATAATTGCTGTCAGACATGGCCTGTGGGCGTTTGAGCTTCTCGTGCCAAATTCGGGCTAAATCGACTCGATAATCGGCCAGGAGGGCAGCAGAGGTACGGGGAACATTGTCATAGGACAGGGATGGGTTTTCGTTCTCAGGGGAGTTAGGACCGCCGCATTCGAGACAAATGTGGTGACCAGGGCATGGGATCGTTGAGGAATATGCAGTGAGTGATTTATCATGTGTACAAAACCATGCACCTGATCGATCCAGTCTTCGAAATCATCCTCCTGTTCTGCTACATCGCCAGGATGTGGGGCCGTCTGGACAAACCATCCGGTCGGTGTGAAACGCCAGGGACATGGACCAGGGTGAAGTGGAAGGTGAGAATAGCCAAAATCCATCGGTTGATAGTCGCGTTTGGTGCTAAATCAGGATTTGATAGCATACCCTTGATGAATCGCGCGTCGACTTCTACCACGATGTTGCGTAGGCCAATGAGATAGATTTTCCATGCCTTGAGTGCCCGAAACAAGCCGTACAACTCCAGTTTTGGCTGGGAAAATCTCGATTCGCGTTCGTTCAAGGTGATGGAACCGAAGCATGCGTAGAATCGCCGGGCAAGGTTTTGAGGATCACACTGAGCTAGCGTGGCCCCAACGGCAATATACGACGTGTCAACAGAGAGAATGACTGGCGCCGCCGAGTGGTAGTCAAGCGGACGCAGCGCCGGTGAGTTCAGCAAGGCTGCCTTGAGATCCTCTTGAGCGCTGATCTGCTCACTTCCAAAGACAAACGGAGCGTCCTTTCGAGTCAATGCAACAAGTGGATTTGCACGGCGGGCGAAATTACGGATGAACATGCGCACAACGCCCATTGTACCAAGAAAGGCGCGTACTTCGGACAGACTGCTGCACGGTCCCCAATTGACAATCTTCTCGATGCGTGAACTGTCGGGAATACGGCCCTCGTATGTGCAAACATGGCCAAGAACTGTGATCTTCTCAGCGCAGAGGATGGCCTTTGGGCCAGAGAAGGTACCGCCACAATATTTCATGCGCTGTACAATTCGATTGAGGGTCTGAAAATGCTCCCAGACAAAACGCCGAATGCCAGGATTGGCTGGATGTATCTCGTAACCACCGCCGGGGAGCTCGTAACGAGTTGCAGGACCACGGACTGGGCTGTCATCAATGTAGGGAATGGTAAATCGCGGGATTTCAGGTCGCAAAATGTGCGTGACGTCGTCGTGGAAAATTGGGACTGAATTTGACCAACCCATAGGCAGAGTCGTCAAGCGAAGCGCGCCAAAAGGCGACTGGAAGGTAGTCAAATCACGTGAAACCTCTGCTAGCACGCGTTCATCATATCCAACATAGAGATCCAGGATTCCGCCACAAGCACGGCCAGCAAAATGCTCCGCGAGTTGATCGGTGAGTGGTGGAACGCCCGAATGCTGAATGGTCACAGCGTTCAAGGGCTCCAAGCTGTGTACAAGACGCAGACTCGTGCCGTCTTTCTTGACAACGCAAAACCACCTTGATCGGTAAGAGGAATTTGACGGCTCATAGACGCCAGCGTCGATCTTACGCCGGATCAAATCGCAGACCTGATCGTGGATGCCTGGAGGGATTGGGATGTTGCGTTGAACCCACGGGGTGTGCGGGACAACAGGGATGATGACTGGCTGAAAGAAATCAGTGCGGAACTTTCCGCGTTCTGATTCTGTCCATGCAAAACCATCTTGGTGCAGGCACATGAAATGGTGCATGAGCCGGCGTTCTTCAGGCCAAAGAAAGTCCCCAGGGTGAAGGGAATCAATGACGTCGTGACGCTCGTGCGTGTAACGGCCAGTGGGAACAAAGGGGGGCGGATTCGGATCAAGTCTAGGCATGGACGCGAGCGGGTCACCACGGATGTCGCGCACAATACGGAATTCTTCGGGAAGGGTTCCCAGGACGGGGCGTACTTTCTGAGCAACGGGCTTGTACCGTTTCTTCGCGAAAACGTCGACAGGTGAGGCAGAGGAGGACGGGTTGGAAAACGATGTAGATAGATTGTAGAGAGGGACAGGCATGCCGTAGTAACCAGGGAGCGATGAGGACTTGAAAAACCAAGGGGGAGTTGAATCCCCCATAGGAGACTCGGACTCCACTGTAGACAACGGTTGAACGTTCGAATACGCAAACTGGACCGTATCAGAATACGAGCCCAGATTAGTGGAACCTAGAAGATAAAGAAAAGTAAGATCAGTAGAGGAATAGTTCGAGGGAAGCTGAGCCGATGATTTGATCATAAAATCTTGAGGATCGAGTGGATTGGGTATAATGATGAATGCGGTCTCTCCTTGATCAGGGATCAAATCCTCGAGGGCGGAAAATCCTGGATTCGCGGCCGAGAACCACGAGGAACAGTAGCGATTGTTGCAATCTTGCCTGTGTTGGGATCTCGGATTGTGATAGTCTGGTTTTCGTTGGCAAAATTTCGGACAATGCTTTCCGTCAACACGTCGAAAGGACGACCCATAAGATGTCGTAGGCCGGTTTTCGGACGACGTGGACTTGTAGGTAGAGCGTGATATCATCAAATGCGAACGGAACGTTTCGTGCAAGGCCAAGGGACGGAGAAAACCGATCCATTCGCCGACTGCATGCGAAGAACGATGGTGGGATCGTACGAAAGGCCCAATTGGTGGCACACAGCCTCAGACATGGCGATTATCTGGGAGCCGCCATCGATAATAGATTCGACCCGTAGACGGTTGTCTACCACGGGGAGAACCGAGCGGATCGCCGAAGATTCGAGGGAGACCACCAGATCGTCCATAGAGGCGCCCGAGTTGATCATCGTCTCGTAATAGTCCGGAATAACAGTTGCATCAGGTGGCAAAGTCGAATTTGCATACGCAGCAGGCATTGAATCGAGAAATGCGGCGTCTCGCGCATTGTTAGATGCCTGGGCGTCCAGAGGCTCGATTGGCGCACTGTCGGACATGTTTCTATGCGAGAAATCGTCGTAGATGTGGGTTGAGACCGCCGGGGTTTTAGAATCGGCACCAGAGGGAGGAGGAACGCGGCGGGCTGGTAGTGGCGTTACTTATACGGGCCCGTACACCAGGAGAGATCGAAAGGATCTCTTCGATCGAGTTTTCGACCTTAGTTCCAAGAATCCGGCCAAAGACAACGTCCTCGTGTTTCGAATCATAAATCGGAGCCACAGAACGGTACGCAGGATCAGTTTTCTTAGCGGGAACGGCCGGAACTCGAGCCCCAACGTTATGGTCACGGGGAGGAGCATACGCAGCATCTTTGGCTTTTGCGTAGGGATGTTCAGGTGCAGTAGCGGGGATAGCAGCCGGAGGACGGGTCACAGGAGCGGGAGTGGGAGCTGGGGCCGGCATACGAGCAGGGGCAGGTGTAGATCGAGCCGCAGGTCGGACTGCTTGTTCCGGAGCTTCGACGCGGTCTCCAGACCGATCCAGTGCAGCACGTGCCTGGGATCGAGTGCGCATTGCCAGGATTTCGCGCTCGAGAGCTTGAATTCGTTCAGATTCTGATAAAGTGAACACTGGAACAGCAGGGGGCTCAACGCTAGAGGACAAGAAATGAGTCGCAACCTCGACCAGATTTTGAGCAACACCCATTTGGCCGGGATTCTGGCGGTGATATTCGTCGAATCGAGCCCGTAGATTGACACCCATGATCCGTCGTGGGATATAAGCGCCGCTGGGCAGGACGACCTGCCCCTCTGTGTTACGCTTACACTTCCCAGCTTGAATATCTTCGTCCACGTGAGGGCATCGAATGATGAAATGTCCGTTTTCACTGCAATAGCTGCAGGTGAGATCCCGAGGAGTCGAATTGACAGTCATTGCCGAAGGAGCTGTTCGAATAGACTGTTGAGCAGCCACTGCCTGGGCAGTGACAGCGGCCTGCGCGGCAAGGACTTTCATTAGTCCATTCATAGACTCGATGAGCTGAGCAATATTCGGCTCAGATTCCTGTTTCACAGGAACAGACGGGGATGGAGACGTTGTTGGCGGCGCTACAGAGCCAAAGGAAGAATCCGCTAGAACGAATTCCATGGCTTCATTCATGTCCGTGATATCGTACGGATCATCTGGGTGAACATCGGGTTTCTTGACTTGGAGACGCTGATGGACACGGGGCCAAAGAGACGAGGCAGAAATGGCGCGACGAAAGGCACGAGACTGCTCAGCCTTTGACAGGCGAGATTTGTCGACCAGGAACTTTGTAATGACCAAAAAGCGACGATAGAATTCGCTGTAATCCACACGTGAAAGGATGCCAATACTGGCGTACTCCCCAATCAAAGCATGCATGTCTGAAAGCGAATAGCGTCGGTCAGCATCAGTGCCAGGGTAGAGTTTCAGGACGGCGGCTTTGAACTGATCGTAGGAGCTGGGAGCCGCAAAAGATTCCAAAGATTCCCAGACTTCTGCATCGTCGAATGGAAGGTAACGGACGGCATGTTTCTTCTTTTCCTGGTCATTGGTGACACCAGCGGCGCCAAAGTGATACTCCAAGTCCGAAAAGAAACGAAGCAGCTCACGGGGCTGCTTGGAATCGAAAATGGGAGCCCCACGGGCACCACGGGGTGGCATAGTAATGTTTGCCGCCATTCTGGGATGAGATGGAGACACGGGGCGCAGGAGGAAATAAGATGAGGCCGAGGACGATTGGGACGAGGACAAGGAGGCCTGGGATGATGATGACGATGACGACGACGTTGTTACTATGAAATGGGCAAGGGTAGGCGAATCTGGATCTACAGGATCCAAGTTGAAATGGTGCGAAAGGGGATGAGGGACTGGGACCAGAAGATCGTCAGAGGACGAATCAGAGTGGTGTGACGCGTCGTTGAGGTTCAGTGGTTCTGGAAAATATCCCGGAACTCGAGGCGGAGATTTCTATGAGGATTTGGTCGAAGACTGCGGTCCGATCCTGATGCAATGTTGAATTGGAAACCCTCGCGGTGGGCTCCAAAATGACACGCCTGCAGCGGGTGTGAGCACGAAAATCAACCGGAGAGGTGGGGTGTGAATATAATCAACAGTGCTGCTCAACAGACAGCCGCAAGGGTTGTTGTTTTGCGAGGGTGTCCCAACAAGGATCAGGACTCGGGAATATGGTATAAAAAGGCGGCGGGCAACGGCGGCGAGGGCAACAGAGGCGACGGAGACGGTGGAGGCGACGGAGACAATGGAGGCGATGGAGACGATATAGACGGTGAAGAGAGGCGGAATTTTCAGATGCTGAAATAGAGCACTTGTTTTTGGGGTGAAGAGAACTTGTCTTTGAAGGAATATACCGTAGCTACTTATAGTAAAGTCTCGAATTGATAAAGAACATATTGGGTCCGTGAAAAACACCTAACTACCCGGTAAGAAGCGCTCCAAGCATCCCAAAAGTGCCTGTTCCACATGTAAGTCTATAAAATACATGTTTCACCTTATTGGTCCCATATGGATGTGTCTGTTCGGTAAAATAATTCCCCAATGATGCCAATCTGAAACATAGAAAGGACTAGCAAATACTCTGGGCAGCGTGCAGCCGTGTGGCCAGCAAGCCGAGAGATAAATCAGCCACCAAATGCTGTGCACCTTAATGCAGCAGTGCCACACTGATCGCTTACGAAGCCAGGGCGTGTCAACGCTTGTCACCGCATCTCTTGCAACTACGTCTACTTCGACGCCACCCAACGTTTCCAGACGATCGGCACCTCGGCATTCGTTCCTGGAGGGTCCGCATACCAAATCAAGCTCGTTTTCGGTCCGCTCGGGGTTACGGTGTACGAGACTGGAGTGAACGTCGGCTCGATGAGCACCGCACTCATTGGTGTCGGACCGTACCCGTCAAGTTGAATGCGCAGATCCTGGACAGAGGCGCGGGTCTGGATATCAACATTGATAATATTGCGGTGGGGTCGAGTGCGAGCATCCTATGATCGATATTCATCTTTAGTGATTCCCGAAATGTGTCAAGGTCGTCCTGGTAGTTTTTGTTCTCCTACCGTTCTGTTTACGAGTCTGTCATCCAAAAATGTGTCTGTGCAAAGTTCTTGTAAGCATTGATTGAGCAAATCCCGCGCACTCCTACGATGTTATCGTCATAGAGCGGAAGTGAAGATGCCACGGGTTGTGAGAGAGGTGAGTCCATTCAGCCGAACGATGGAGCGCCCGGATGCTCGGACTAGACTTGATCCTGGGTCTCGCGCCCAATCATTCGTGTCATCAATTTGTTCCTCTCACATCGCTACAAGTATCACAGTCATCAAATACAATTGACGCGGGAACGAGCACGCTTGGCGTCCTCTCTTCAATCAAAAGCTTCCGGGAGCAGAGTCGAAGAGACGCAGAGTGCAGCACGGAGGGGATAGCACTGCTCTAGAGTGCTACCCATGGATGATCGATCGCCCGCTTGGCATATTCAGAGTTGATCCCTCATCTTGCTGGGCCTTGGGTAATATGTCCGAGAAACGGTAACTACAAGATGCAAGTCACGGATGTCGCACACAGCAAATGATTGGAGATGAGAGCAGACGCGATAAAAAGAGTGTGTTTGTACCTGTTGCTCGCGATCGCTGTGCATTGATTTGTATCGCCATCTACGGCTTGGCAGCTCCCGGTCAGACCATGCCGTAGGCACCGTAGGCAGATTCCAGTGATCCCTCCCTTTCTCCTCTGTGCACGCCCATCGTCACGACAGCGACCGTGCAGGACCCAAAACGCGCATTCTTCCTGCGCTTCTCCTTCATCTGGTCCACATGGCCCCTGGCAAGCCCCTGCACATCGGTCTACCCCCACGGATACTGCGAGTCGTTTTCGGCGGGGCGTTCCTCCTGCTCTGTTTCTATGTGCTTGTCTTGCGTGGCTGGGAGTGGGACGACCCTTCGGCGCTTCCGATCCCCGTTATTGACGACAAGAGCGTGCAGCTGGGTCACCCCTCGTTCATGGATGCATGGATGTACGAGCGCGCACTGCCGCAGCACGCTAAGACGCCTGTGTCTGCCAAGTGGCGGGGGCAAAACGGGGTCGATGGAAACGACGGACGGAGGTGCGTGGAGCCTACTACTCGCTCCCTGGGGGCCAGTGCTGACGTGTCGGCAGGTATCTCTTGATCAGAGATGCATCATGGGGGTCCGGGTACGTACAGCTGCTTCTCTCTGGCTCCACCTATTGACGACGATCCGCGGGCGCGCAGCTGGAACAACATCTTCCAGGAGCAGCTGCTGAACGACTATCTGTCGTACATCAGCGACCGCTCGTACGTCTTCCCGTCGTTCATGCCAGTCGACCACCCGCCGTACCCCAACAAGCTGCCAGACGGCTCCGAGCACCAGGTGCACATCCCGATGAACGCGCTTGTTTCTGGGCCTACCGCTGGCGGCCCACTACGCAGGGACGAGAGCGATCCGATCGGGCGTCGTGCGGTGTCGGTGGAGTACTGGCACATTGCGTGCCCACCGGAGCGGGTGCACCACATCAAGCTTTACGACATGCAGAAGGAGCTAGGGATTGATGATGACTCCCAGGGCGATGACAGGATGCTGAAGTGGTCGCGGATGTTGAAGGCGCTTGATGCGCCCTGTGTCAGTATCGACGACGGAGCGGTCTTCAATTGGATGTGCGTCGTCGTCCTTACTTCCGCATTAGACCCATGCTCACTGACGCGTGCAGGTTCATTGGGGGCGACAAGGTGATGAGCATCTGGCCCTCGTACAGTCTGTCGCCAACGATGCGCAACTTCGCTTGGTCGCCCATGGTCGTGCACGCACTATACCGCCACTACCACCTCTTCTCGCGCTCGCCCGCACCGACGCTCGTCCTGCCATCCGGTCGCCAGCCGTACCGAATGCAGTCGTTCAAGCGATTGTACACCGCCGAACACACGATCCCCGGCCTCCTCGCCATACACGTGCGACGCGGGGACTATGAGAACCACTGCAGCTTCCTCGCTGATGTCGGCGCAGACTACAACGCGTGGGACGGATTCGGGACTCCCGGGCTCAAGCTGCCCCCTGTGCGATCCGAGCTGATTGGACCGGGACCCTACAACTACCAGGACCCAAAGCTACCTGACTACCTGAGCACCCCGGAGGGTATGTCCCGACGAGACGCAGCTCACGCACATTGCTGGCCGTCACAGCACGCGATTGTCAAGCGTGCCCGGCAAGTCCGGGCTGGCACCAGCACGCCCGGAAACATGAAAAGCCTATTCATTGCCACGAATGGGGACAAGGCCTGGGTCGCTGAGCTGGCTGAGCTTCTCAAGGCGGATGGGTGGTCACACGTGACGAGTTCTCACGATATTGATTTGACGAAGGAGGAGATCGCCATCTCGCATGCGGTGGATATGGCAGTGATGACTGCTGCCCAGGAGTTTATCGGTGTTGGGGTCAGTGGATTACTCCTCTTCCTTTCCGTGTTCTCATGCTTTCGTGCAGTTCTCCTCGATGACGAGTAATGTTGTGCAGATAAGACTGGGTGCTGGAAGAGAGGCAAACACGTGCCACTTTTGGTGACCTAAGTATGTATACAAAATTATTACCTACACTATAATGGGTTCACGCGCTTTTCTTGGATTCCGGGTATTACCAGACCTGTCATGATATCCGCCTGTTTGTTCTCCCTCGAACGTCGAGAAGATTTAGTGGGATGCAAATTAGGATCACGCTCTGTTGGGATCACAGAGTGAAATCTGTCTAAAGCACATGCACCTGGTCGATTTGAACTGTATGAATCGCCACCGTCTGTTCTTTCTCACACTGCACCCGATTCGACAAGTTGCGAAGTTACAAGTCTCTTGTCTGATGCTCTAGAATACACGAACTAAATAAGTTATCCGAAAAGAATATACGATGAAAACGAAGAGTAATTCCCGGGCAGCCACTGTTCAAGAAAGCGGGTTCTTAACGCGGCGCTTGATTTTGCCGCCCATAAGCTCAACCGGGCGGGGGACCCCGTGGTGCCGCTCATATACGCCACACGCATTGCACACCAAGTCTCCGCGCTTATTGCGGCGCCAGACGCTCGTCTTGCGCGTGTGGCAGTGCGCGCACTCGTTCCCGTCGTCGTCCGAGAGGTCCATCTCGCCCGCGTCGATGACCTCCGCGGGGCGCGGCGCGTGGCGCTGCTGGAGGTACAGCCCGCACGCGTTGCAGAGCGTCGCGTGCGTCTGCGGGTCGCGCCGCCAGAGCGGGGTGCTGGTGGCGCCGCAGTGCTGGCATTGGCGGGTCGCGCCGCCGCCGCCGGAGGGTGCGGGTGGCGGGCCGCCGGGATGGCCGGATCCGTAGCCGGGTGCTGCGTCTGCGTAGCCGTGCGGGACTGCAGGGTTGTATGCGGTCTGCGGGTAGCCGCAGTGGGCCTGCGCGTTTGGATAGGCGGAGGGCGGCATCTGGTTATATCCAGACGATGGGAGAGACGAATCTGCATGTTGGGATGAGTACAACGTTGATCAGGCTGAGGAGAAATCGGTAATCACAAGGTGGAACCGCGCCCGTGAGTGAGCTCCAGTTGGAGATCGGTACCTGCGAATAGCCGTTGTCCCAGCTCATACTTGGTTGGAGCGTCGAGGAATGGGATGCTTATGTTGAGAAGGCCTCAAGTCGAGGAGGTCTGCGATGCCAATCCACCTCGCGCTCCATCGCTCATATACTACGCAGCGGAACGTAACGGAAGCGGAGATGACTGGGAATATCTATCCCGGGCTGGCACTCAACGAGATATCCTGTGAGGGATAGCGAACGCGAGACAGCCTAATGCACCTGTCACCTGGCTGGCTGTCAAATACGTTGATGGCTGATGGCGTTGGAGAGTTTCCACTCAATCCGTTCGAATGCCAGTCAGCGCTGATCACTGATGACCAGATCGAATGCACCGTAAACTCGCTGTGCAGGCTTGTTATGTCCGTCGCTCGGCGAACGAAAGGTCCCAAGCGGCGAGAAGAGGATTGAGTCACGCTACGGAATTGACGATAACGGAACGGAGCTCGACGAGTAATTTCGACTCATCATGACGCGCCATCTCATCCTCCAGCCCAAAACGGAGCACAGCCGCTGAAAGGGGTCTGTAGGGTATCTGTCCAATAGGCAGCGATGTCAATGTGGCTGCCACTGACTTGCCAATGTGTCGCTTTGTCGCTTATTTGCCGGTGACGCATTTAACTCTCTGCTTCTGTTCATCAAGTTCAGCGAGCTTTAGATAGTTCCGTGTCTTCTTAGGATCAAGACCTGTGTGTGCAGAGATTCCAGTCCAGTTTCGGAGCCGCAAGGGCCAGGCACGTGCCAGCGAGTTTACAGATGCAATCAACACGTATCAATTCCGAATTCATTTTCGCCAACACAGCCTTGGGTATGTTGAGGCTGTAAGAATAATATCGGTTAGGATTCAAGCTCCATCGACTCCAATGGAGCTCTCCGGATTTGTGGCAGGTGCAGTGCGAGACTGGGATGATCAGTATTCAGTGTAACAGGCGCATGCGAGATGACATGATATTTGATGATCGCATACTAGCCTCGCGCACAAGGAACAGACGCAGCCGGGGGGACGATCGTCATAGGATCTACGTGCTAGAATCTCCCAGGGCGGTCCCAAACTCACCGCTCGCCGTCACTCACTCCGACTCACCCATGACAGCGACAGAAAACATCGCCAACCATCGTTCAATGGAATGTGCCACGGAAAGCCTCTCCGGGTAGGGATCGACGGAAATCTTAATTTTGAATGTCAAGCTGAGCAGCATGTGTGGACCCCGGATCGGGCACATGCAGTTGGCCTGCGCGGGAGTGTTCGTGAGCGTGTTTCTCATCGTCGGAGGGCTCAAGTGTCACCGCGGGTATTCGTGGCAGATGCGCAAACGGGGGTTTGCATTATGGTATACCATCCATTTCTTCTGTCATGTGCGACGAAGATCAGGGCTCAGGACTGATGCTGATACGGCGGCGGCGGACAATCGGATCAGGAGCGTGGGCCGGACATCTCAATAGGCCGGACATCTCAGCACCTCGCCATCGCTCCCAAGTCTGCCAAGCCTTGAGGCAGACATTGCGAGTTCGCTGAGATGGAAGGCGAAAAATCTATCACGCCTGAAACGCGCAGGCCCCGCGCACTGTGCAGAAAGTGTGCTGCGCCGACATCCGCATGAAGTATCAACGATCTTTCATCCAGCTTGAAACTGCGTGGTCGAGGTTTGGCGTCATCTGAGATGACGTGAAACTGTTGAGGAGTTGATACCTAGAGTCTGCCCTCAAGGCTAAGATGCGATGAGTATTAGAGTACATTATGTCTTGTGCATACACGGCCAGATCATTCGTCAGCAACGGTGACAATGGCTTTGCCGACGTTCGTTCCCTTCAGAACAGCGACGATCTGGTCCCCGACGGTCTCGAGGCCGCGCGTGACATCCTCTCGGTAGACGATCTCGCCCTTGGCGACCATGTCCGGGACGGTCGAGTAGAACTGGTCGTGGTACTTGGCGATCAGCGGGATCGCGAGGAATCCGTGCATGTGGATCTGCTTGCCCACGAGCGTGACGAAATTCTGACGGACGAAATCTGTCAGTGAGTGCGGGACGGTCGCAGCTGGGTAGTCAACGCACCTTGAGAGGCTCGGGCTGGCCGTTGTATCCAGAGATGGACCCGCAGAGCAAGAACCGGGCGCCAACGTTGGCACTCTCGATCGCAGCGTCAGTCGTATCGCCGCCGACGTTGTCCCAGTAGCTGAAGCGCATACATTCAGCCATCAATCACGCGAATACCAGACGGCGCGAACGTACATGTCAACCGGACCCTCCTTCGTCAGCACCTCCCGCGTCGGCGTCGTCTTATAGTTGAACACGACGTCCGCGCCGAGCGACTTGACGAACGCGCACTTATCCTCCGAGCCGGCCGACGCAATGACCTTGCACCCCGCGCGCTTGGCGAGCTGCACGACGACGGAGCCGACGGCGCCCGCTGCGGCGGTGACGAACACGGTCTCGCCCTAGATCAGCCCGCGCATGAGAGCGTGCGAGCGAGAAATGATGTGATGACGCACAGCTTTGACTTCGGAGTAAGCGGTCCAGGCGCACCAGGCGGTTTGCCCTGAGTGGAGGATAACAGTGAATGGGACCCGGAAGGACGAACAGGGGGTGCGATGACGTACCGGGCATGCCAGCCGCGCCGATGTATGCCGTGAGCGGGAGATCAGCGCGTTTTTCGAGGATGGAGATGCTTGGGTTCAAGCCGGGCAGGACGTAGTACTGCTCGTGGCCTGCACGCCAACAATGAACCGACAAGGGACGACCAAGAAGAAGGATGATACGCACGGATGGTGTACCCATAGATGTACTTGCCCACCGGCACCTCCGCATTCTCTGATCTCAAGACTTTGCCGATCCCGAATCCGGAGAGCCTATTCACGTCAATGAGCGAGGTGGATTAGCGCGGGGCTCTGGGTGGTGGAATGGAGCACGACTGACGGTTTGCCGATCTCAAACGCACCCTAAGTGGAACGCCAATCAGCACTCGGGCATAGACGGACGTGGAATCGCTGCTACGCACGGTGTACGACGGGCCCGGCTTCATGCGGCCACGGAAGTACGGGTCGACTGAGAGGATGAGCACCTTCAGCAGGAATCCACCGTTCAAGGGCACGTTCTCGATGTCGATCGTCTCGGTGGTATCATACACCGTCGTCTCGCCCGGAACTGGTACGCCTGTGCACACCAAACGCGATGAGTCGGCGATATATGCGCGCAGGAGAAACGCGTCACTGAACCTTGGGGGACGGAGTTGAATAAGACACGGCCGTTGGTTACTGGTGCCATCGGAATGAGGAATGGAAAGAAAGGAAAGCTATTTGGAGAAGACTTGTGGCGTTGCTAATTTATCCTCGTCGCGTAAAAGAAGATTTACAATCGATTGATCGGTGACTACGCGGCTTCCGGTAACCGGAGGGTCCTACAACCGGTCTTACCAAGCTTGGACATTTCTTGGCAGCGCCACAACAGAGCGAAATAAATGACGCACTAAATGGCGCCCGTTCGAAAACGCTGGATGTTTTCCAGGTCGGTCAAGTGACGTTTCGTGACTCTCAATTTGCACGGAGTTTGCCGAATCGGCGTTGGCCGATGTCGAAATGTAGGTCACACGTCCCGACTGATGCTTGCGTGCGAACATGAGCTGAAACCCGCTACCTGGATTCAATATGCCACATCACTCCGCATTTAGAGGATACTCAATTTTGTCCAACTTCGAAACCCTCTTTCCACCAATGACCCTTGTGAGCGGAGAAACACTTGACACGTTCAGAGATGACGGGCAGTGCGAATCCCAGATGATAGATCGAACATGCTCTGCGAACTCAAAAATGATGTGTCTCACTATATGAGTGTATTTAGAACCATCACTTGAATGGGATACCTCTACTAATCACCAGAATAAGTCGCCGCATCCCCGCCTTGAGAAGATCTGAAATTAGAATACACAAGGCATAGATCGAAAACTGTTCCCGGCAGATCAAACTTGTGGCGCCACAGATGGACCTCGCTCCCGTAGTAACAAGAATAGAATGGTTTGATAGAACACGAGCGGCCGAAGATTGAGTGTCTGAGCTTCAACGAATCAAGGTTCGGGTACATCTCACACCGCTGCTTGCCTTATGTCCGGAAGTACATGGTGTATATTTGGTATCAGTTGGGCTGCGGTGGAATGCTAGCTCCGGTCAAGGCCTTTTCACATGAACCGGACCGGAGGCAAGGAAGCATGTGCTCCCGCCTGGGCCGCCCGAGCATATTTACCCTGGCCAACTCGATGTCTACGATACTGGCGGGTGGTGTTGCAAGCCTTCAATCGACAAGAAAGTCACAAGATGTCTCGAGATTTTCGGTAATGCAAATTCCGAGGCACATCTATCTGTGGACATTGATGAAAAAAATAATTTCGACGTGCGAATCGGCAATTCCCGATAGAAACGTGATGCTTCCAAGTTGGAAAACCGAAACTTTCACCCCTGTTGGTATCTCAGCGCAGAAGTCGTCTAATTCATCTGTCTTACGGGTTTGCAATACTGCTGGATTTTTGCTGACGATGGCAACGCTGTGTGAGCCAAGTACTGCAGGCCGGTCAGCAGGTGAGCGATGCCGAAGCTCATGTCGCTTTGCCTTTGCCATTTTCTCAGCTCTGTTCATTCAGAGTTATCCTTGAGACCTCGCTATCTAAGCTTTTCTGTTCTGAAACCTTTAAAATCTCACCCCTTCGCTCAAGTCGCCAGCACAACTCCCCCTCCTTTGATACTAAGGCGATGTCTGCTTTTGGGCGCGAATCAAGCCTCTCGATCCTCGCGATCCACCCCTGTCCTCCCCACATGAGTCCGTCGGACTTCAACAACAAACTCGTAGCCTTTGTCCGGTCCTATGTTACTCTGCCCTCGGTGAAGCAATACTTCGTCAAGTCGGAGATTGGAAGTGTCCATGAATCTGTGGTAGTCGTGCTGGCTAAATTGCCCGCAGTTCGTGCACAATAACGACCTGAACCACGTCTTTGCCAGCGGCGGGCTCCCAAACCCCGATGAGCGGAGTGTCTGTCTCGTCAAACACGAATTCGAGGTGATTAGACTTCATTGGCCTTTCACTAGGCTGCGCAGCTGATCTCGGATCCTAGAGCGCAGAAAGCTTCGCCCAGGTGCGTCCGCCTTACTTCCTGATCTCGCGTGCATCATCAAGATATACCATCAGGCTATGAACGACGCCGATCTCCTCGAGCTTCAACTCGGGCCGAAGGCCGAAGAGCTAGAATACAACTCTTCAAAGAATCTCCTCTTCGCGTCCCGTCATCATGTTGACCACGAATCTTCTTCGGCGACCCCGACCGGGTCCAAAAAGGCTTTCATCGGGTTCTTCGGGCCGTTGCGCAACACGGCGGCTATGAAGGGAGAGGCGGCTGTGCTGCTTGGGCTGCCAGCTTGGAGGGACCATGTAGTGCGACATACGCTGGTGAGAAGCTCAGTCTATGAGAAAGGCGACCTTGCCGGACTTGATTTGGAACATAGTGCTGGAGCATGAACGACGAAGCAGTCGAGCTTGCGCTCGCGCCGCTGGGCCGGTCGGCAAAGCTGGACGAGCCTCTGATGCTCGCCATCAACGAGCTGAAGGTACGAGTGACCATCGCAGTCCAACCCCTTAAATTTCGTAATGCATTACTAGGACGGCGACAGTGTCCACAAGGTACATCATATTCGATCCGAGCAGAAATCGAAAGGCGCTGCGGAACTGATTATGCTCACGCCTAGATTTTTGGGGACGCAGCAGTACAGAGCGAACTCGAGCGCATCAATCAGATGCATGTTCTCACGGGGAGCCAAAGTCACAGATTTGCGGCCGACGTTGTGGTCCTCGTTTGATTCCTGCTCCATAAGAACATCATTACAAAGAATTTGATGTGCAGCGTGAATGCTATGGTAGAGGGTCCTCCGAATCTTGAGACAGGGAGAGCACCCGCAGGACGACAGTATCTGTTCTCTCGTGATTAAATATGAAACGGTCTGTACAAGCCACAAAGAGTGTGACTAAAATCTGCGTAGAGCCTCACCTCTCGGGTCCAGCTGGCGCCTTTCCGAGGAAGATCGCTCGTATGCATCATTTGATATAGATGACCTGGCAAGAGCAAAATGGGCCTTGAAGATCCAGCGGCTCTCAATGATCGACCCGCGCAGCTCTCGCAAAGCCCTCTCAGCCCACTGGACGCTCTCGAATTCGATGATTCCAGAGCTCGTTCCTCCCACTGAGTTCCACAACTGAGTTGCGCGGGTCGATTTCGAACAGAGGGACACGTACCAAAGTTAACCAGGAACTTGGGCTTCCTCCTCTCCCCGGTATATTCACACCACGCAGAGATGTGGCTTTTGAGTGCGGCGGGTGTGCCCTCGTAGTGGTAGAAGTACACCCGGCGCGAGGGCTCGAGGCTCAGATCCGAATCTTTCTGCGTCTCGTGTTGCAGGAATTTCGCCGTGTAAAACGTATCGTCCCCGTCCTTGAAAGGCTCGTCTGTCATGCGCACATATGCGCGGATGGCATCGTTCTTAGTGATCATATACACCTGCACGTTGCCCGTGTTGTCCTTCGCGATCGTGATGTCTCGGATATCCAGCCCGTCAAACGCCGCGCTCTTCGTCAGCAGCGGCCACATATCGAGGAGCGTCTTTTCCCGTGCGAGGCCTTCGATGACTAGCCGCCTGCCGAGTTTTTGGGGTAGGTGAAGCGGAGCGAATTTCGCGAACTCGATTTTGAGCGGACGCCCTTCGTACCCCAGCGTCAAGTCAGCGGCGACGGCTTTTTTGGCTTCTGCGATGTTTTGCATGAGCACGACTAGGGCGCAGCTTGGGGTGCTTAGGCGCATGCGCGCTCCGGTGGATGTCAGTCAGTACGCAGAGGAAACGGAGAATAGGTCACCAGCACACCATTGTTGACCGGCCTCAGACGCCCAAAATTCTCCTCGAGTAAGTTCACGAGACCATTCAAGTTGTAATTCGCCGGCATGTTGCTGATGTGCAACCGCCGGCGTGGGATTCCCTCCAGGTCTGCGACAGTAGAAAGAAGCAAAGGCGGGGGACGCGACTCGAGGAGTGGATTGGAGCAGTAGAAGGCGCGCCGACCAAGGACCAGGATGCGTCTCATGTGCGGCAGGTAGGGCGTGGATGTGATCATGACTGTTGTCCGCTGAGCCTTCGACGCGTGACGTCGCAGTGACGTGACATTACTCGGCGATCATACTTTCGTGATCAGCGCCGGTACCAATTTTAGATACCCCGAGGCGCGTTTCATTTGGCTCCGGCATCGGTCCAATTGTCATGGGAGAAGTGTGGAAAGACGATGAAGCGAGCTCAACAACAAATTGAATGACAAACTGGACATTTTTTCTTGTATCTGGTTGACTAGCGAGACACTATGTAAGTGGGGCTCTGAGACAGCTTGCTTCTATCCAGCTTCGCAGTAGGCTGTGAATCATTCATGCTGCGTAGTGAGCTCCCTTTACTGCTCTCAAAAGCTTCAGCCTTTTCTTTTCCATCAGTCTTTCTGAAAAAAATCAATGGACATCATTGATGGTGTTCACGGAATTGTTCAAACGGTTCAAATGATTGGTTGATCGTGACTTTTTGCAGCGCTATTTTTAGCACAAATCCCTTCGCTGTGCTGTCCGATACAGCTTCGCTGGCTTCAAGTTTCATGGATGTTCAAAAAACCTGACATTGCCATAGCCCCGAGCTCAATATCGAACAGTTCTGAACTGTCCAACCTTGATGGCCTTTGATCAAGTAGCAACTGGAGATCAAGCGTGTTCAAAGCGATGTAGAATCGAATACATGGGGAATGCAGATGGTCTGTTTTCTCTGCCTGATCACCAAAGCGCAGCCTTATCTGCCGCTAAAAAGTGTCAATCTGATCAGAAACCGTTGGATCATTCCCTTTGCCTCACCGCAAAATCAAACACTAGAAGCTCTAATGAATAGAGCGTTTTTCTTGTTTTCAAGTTGATGAGACGCTCTTAACCCTGATGCTCCAGGGTAAACAGAGATGAGAAGTGAGAAAACCTGTTCGCCGGCTTACATGCTCCTGCCAAGATTGGCTCGCGCATACTGTAGAGTCCGGAACAGAAGAAAGGAGGAGGGAGTGATGGCGGGAGTGTCGTCGGGGTGTTGATCAAAGATGAGGGACACACGAAAAGCGTTTCATTCAGAGGGCAGACAAAGTAAACAACCCCTCGCTTCAGAGAGCTCATTAGATGCAGTAGTACAAACGACATCCGTCCAGGGTAACCTGCAGCGCATTGAGTGTTAGATGAGTTCCGATGGACCGCAAGTTTTCAGGCAGGGACCCACACTCCGAACTTCTCCCGCACTCGCCGTAGGGACAGGATCGACATGGGCGGTCGATATAGCCGTCTCAATCGGTGCACCGAACACTCGGGATGCTTGAGAGAGCCTGTCAGCCAACAGCTCTTCAACCAAAGCAGCGATGTCCAACGCACTGAGCGAGCAGAGAACCGCGATCATGAGCAGGGTGTGGTGGTGGGACAGCTGCATTGTGTGGAGTGTATCGAGTGCTGGAAGATGGGTGGAGACAGGACATGGGTGACCTGTCTTTTATATCCCTGCCGCTCGCTAACGACTGTCGATATCCGCTTTGCGGCGGCATTTGCGGAACAAACATTGCTTGTTTGAGAGTATGGGCTCCCGAACGGACATCTGAATTGGGAACAAATGGCTGATGGTGCGATGTCAAATGAGGATCCACAACTGATCGATAAGGACACCGGGAGTTTCATGAACACTCGCGGCTTGAGTAAAATAGATAAAGCGGATGTGCCTAGGTATAAGTCCGATTTCTACGCGCATCTAATATAACCTCTCCACGACAATCGGCAGCGCCGCTTTCCCATCCACCATAGGCTCGGCTGGAGAGCCCATCTTCCAGGAGATCCGCTGTGGATGTGACACAGACAGCTTGAACGAGCGAAGGAGCACAGCCAGGACAATCTCTGCCCAGTTCATTAACACGACGTATACCCAGAAAAAGACAACGTGAAATGCGCACTGATCTCCAATTGGGCGAATCGGAATCCGCTGCTCGCGTTTAGCATTTTGCGAAACAGAGGGGGTTCAAAGACAGAAGGCGCACGCACATACAGCTCCTGTTCCCTCCCAGAAACGTCATCATGTCCCCGAAGACCCCGGACGACGGCCACTTGGATGATGGTTCAGATCCGGGCACGAGCCAGCGCTCGGGATTGAACTCCAGAGCGTCGTGGCCCCAGACAGCCGGGTTATGGTTGGCGCCGGCGATGGCGATGTAGACATCCGTGCCCTGCGGGACCCGAATCTGGTTCATCTTCTGTCCGCGCGTGTCGGTAAGGGGTTCGGATAGCGGGAGAATGCATTCACGCGTGGTGCTAGGGTCCCGTGATCGCCCGTTAGTACTCGCACCGGCATCGATCAGTCTGGGGGATTGACTCACGTGCGCGACATAGCAGTGATGGGCGGGTATCTGAGCGCCGTGTTTTAGCTGCGGTGCACATGTCTTGCTTCTTCAAGCTGCGGAATCGAGGCAACTCACAGCCTCAGCGTCTCACGCACGACCGCGTCGAGATACGGCAGTTGTACGAGGACGTCGTGGTCCATGCGCTCGTCGTGGCGCAGCAGCTCGGCTCGAAGTCGCTCTTGAATCTCGGGGTTCAGCGCAAGAACGAGGATGACGCGGTTCAACGCCGAAGATGTCGTATCTGTCCCCGCTTGCACGATCATCCTGCGCACGATGGTTATAGCTGCGTCCAAGCACAATAATTAGAGACGAAGACGCACGATATCTGGGCAACCAGTTCCTCTGTCATCAGCGGCGATTCATCGTCTTCCGTGTCTTGCACTGGACAGAGCAACATGTGAGACTTGGCTTTTCACAAGGGCATGATCAAGGTCAACTCACTGAGGAGACTGAGAACGTCATGCCTGTGCTCCTGGCTCGCGCCTTCCCGCGCTCGGTGAACAAGTTCCGTCGCTCGCCGATCGGTCACCCTGACCGCATCACACAGCGTTCCCAGACTCGTTTGTCTCGGCACGACACGGATCAGCGCCCGCCGGAGCCAAGGCGACACCCGATTCGCGAGCAGCGGGACGAAGGGCAGCAGGACAGCGAGTTTGTGGACGCATGGGCTGCGGTTCGGGGTATCGGATGCAGGGCAGAGGGAGACATGGGAAGCAGACTGACGTGATGGCCTTGAGCGAGCGGGTGTAGTTGTCGGTTGGATCCTCGATGGACGACAGGGGGTCGAATGAGTGGTCTGCACCCGCGCGGCCGATAAATTCGAGCGATACGCGGCTGAGGCAGGGGTAGAGGTCGATCTGGATATCACAATCAAAGGGTACGTGAAAGGGTGAGGTAGATGGACGAACCTCGGACGACACGCCGTCCTTGATCTGAGGGATCACCAGTCCATCGCGAAGCTACGCGCAGGAACTCAACGGAAGAAAAGAACATAACGAAAACAAGAAGTGACGAAACGCACCCTGCACGCCACCTCGTACAACGCCGGCACCATCCCACGCAGATGCTTCGGCGAGAACGCCGGCATCATAATCTTCCTGTGACGCCGATGGGTTGCGCCCGTAGTCGACAAGATGCCCGTCCCGAACAGGACACGAGTAAGGCTTCGGTCGCATCGCACCGGTCCGATTCAGCGAAACGAAGCCTCCAGCGGGCGCGGAGCTCACCTGAGGAACACCAGGCCCTCCTCGTACGACTCGGCGTCCTTGACGAGGATCGAGTGCAGGGCGACCGGGTCGTACACGTACAGCTGCAGGCTCTGTGGGAATTCGCACCCCGCGTCACACACACGAAAAAACCGCTGAGAGGAAGCCCACGTACCCCGGCGAGCCCATGTATCTTCACCACCCCGGGGCGGAAGTCCCTCTCCAGCTGCGCGTGGAAGTCCCACCCATCAGGCCCGTGCAGACGCGCGAGGTTGCCCGCGAGAAACGTGTCGGCCGCAGGCCCCGGCACGGCGTGCAGCGGGTGCGGAGCGCCGAGTCGTCGGGCGCGCAGTCGGCGCTGGCACCAGATGAGCGCCGTCAGGGCGGCTGTGCAGGCGAGTGCCAGGACGACGTCCATGGTGAGCGAGAGGAAGACTGAGAGGAAAAGGAAGAGGAAGACAGGGCGTGTGCAATCCTAATCGCTCCCAGGACATCCGATTTCGATTCCTGCTATGCCTTTTCCGGTCCAGCCAAGCCGGAATCAGAGGAATGCGGAAATTGTGCGCGGGCGAAGTAAGCCTCCAGCCCTCTCACACGGTGTCAAGGGAGTGAATGTCGTTGGAGGTGCTTCGTCGGAGCTCGGATGTCAGACAACAGACATTTACCGGCGGGGAGAATGCAAGTCTTTCATGATCCCCATCGAGTAAGAAGATGACGGGCAGTCGAGGGACAGAAAAATGAGTGCGACATGTTGTGGCGGTGCAACGTCAAAGGCAATCGCGAGCGTGACCAATTGTTTCACAATCAGTAGGGCAGTGAAATATACCGCAAATGACCCTGCGGTACACGCCTGCCACCAGGAACCAGGTATGAGTACTCTCCGAGGTCGTTTCAGCATTAGCTGATTACCGCATCCGGAATTTTCCGGTTTCCATAATATTTCGAAATGAGTTGCAGAATCCGCGACGAGAATTGAATCAGAACACACATGTATGCACTGTTACTGGCAGAGAAGATTTCAATTTTACCTCGGATAGGACTTCGATGAGGGCCGATTTTCTAGTCCGTGGTACCCATCAAGCCAGATGTCTAACAATCAATCCTCTATGACGCAGTGCGCGGAAGTATATGATACTGCATCGTCTCAGCTAGCGGCCCTCTTTTTCCCAATCTCATCTCTCAGCAAAGCAATGCGACTGTCCAACCGGGAGCTCAGATCGATCTCGCTCTTGGCAGCATGGCTCTGGGCCTGATCAAGCAACTTGTCCGCTTCGTCCAGCGCACGGACACTGTCCTCAACTTTCAACACCAACACTGCCTCCTCGAACAGTGCCACCCCTGGGACCCACGTGTTCACTTTCGCGTGAGAACCAGTGGCACGTGCACTTTCCAACAGTTCACGAGCCGGGCCGAAAAGCCCGAGTGTCCGGTGCATGACCCCGAGGAGGAGAGAACGCAGTGCTTGCTCGTCGGGTGTGTCGAGCTCAGCCAATGTTTTCTGTTCGGGATCAGCCGCGATTAGGACTTTTATTTCGTACTAATGAATGCTGACCTGCGGCGGAGTTCCATCGAGGACCGGTGAAACCACCGATATTGAAGGCGCTATTGATGCTAGGTCCTTGATGCAAGCTGTGGCTACTTCATTCGTGGTCCTTTGGTGCAAGTTCCAGACTGGGGGCAGCGTTCACAAGTGCTTGAGATCTCCGCCAAAGTCACTTACACAGTCCCATTTCTGAACACGGATTCAGCGTGAGAGATACAAATGCCAAGGACGGCCTGGACGCACCCCAAGCTGGATTGATCCCAATGACATCGACCAATTTCGTCGCATCGATGTTATGTCGCTTGGCTTTCTCTTTCCAGAACTCCACTGCGAAAGATCGATTAGCCAAACGCCCATCGTGGAAGGACGAGGCAAAATCGAACTCTTTTTCTTAATGAAGACTTCCGTCGGTAGATCCTTCCCGCCGACTTTCTTCTTTGTTACCAGATCTGGAATCTTGTCGATGAGCTCCTGAGCCTTGGCTTTCTCACCGACAGCCAAGAAGCAGCCTGCCGCAATGAAGAAGTATGTTGCATGCGACCTGTGAACATTGACATATCTACATCCGGAGAATGGAAGGGAACAAACCACGAGTTCAAAGCTGTCATTCGGATGAATGCTTCGGCCGCTTCTTCAAACTGTCGCTGAGAAAGAAGCGTCCATGCCAGCTCAAATACGAGCTGCAAGGAAACAAAATGAGCGCATGAGCTGGGGATGGGCGCAAAAGGGCTTACCAACGTATCCGCCTGCACGAATCGTTTCACGTCTCCGTTGTCTTCTGCACTCAAGGCAGCTTGTAAAACGCTTATGGCTTCGTCCGGTTCGCCTGTCATGCGGAGTATCTTGGCCTGCAGTCGAATATCAACCTGAGAACCAAGGTACGAAGCTAGACAGACGCGCACCCTATTGAGAACCCATAGCGCACCAGTGGGGTACCTTGCTTGAATAGAATCGACGATCGTTTTGTATGTACGAACAGTCTTGGCTTCGTCGGCTTGATACCCTGAAAGCAGGAGCACCACACCGTGGAATGTCATCAGAGTCAGACTAGATCGAGATCGTCAGACGGGCGCATTTGAACAAGACAAGACGCACCCAGCAAAGACGCCGTGTACGTCTGTCCCTGCTGAGGCCGTACCACCATCACCTTCTATTAGCGTATGGACGCCGGCGCTGATAGCTAGCGCTTGCAATGCCAGTGCGCGGTCGTATTTGAAGCCGAAGATGCCCACGACCGACCTGTTTACGGGTGGATCGTTCGATGTGGCTCCCGCAGTGGAAAAGGCACTCACTGGACACGCTTCGGGAGTAACGAGAACACCAGATTGAACAACCCGTACCCGAACGCGGAACCAGCAACGACCATCTCCTCGACGGGACCCTCCGCCGGCCGTTCTCTCTGCCACCGCTCCTCCTCTTCCCGTGCCTTCTTCTCACGCTCAGCCTCCGGCGAACGCGGCGCCGACGACGCGACACTCAGCAGACTGGCGCTGCCCCACCTCCCAAACAGACCGCCCCCGCCCTTCTTCGGTGCGGGGGCTGCCGAGAGCGATGTCGTCGAAGACGAGGACAGCGGCGAGGTTGCCCCCGATGGCGGAACGGAAAGCGTCGCGGTGCTGCCGTTCGGTGACGGGTAGGATCCACTGCTGCCTGACGCGAGCGATAAGAGCGAGGTGGCTTTCGAGATCGTGTGCTGGGGGTCGGAGTCTGGATCGGTGGTTGAGAGGAATTTGCTCTGACTGGGTGTGGGGGGGATGGACGATGATCGGGAAGGGGCGTGTGAGGGTGCGGGGGTGCGGTATCCGTCTAGTCCTGATGGGAAGACCGCCTTGTAAAGCTTCGTGAACTTGCCGTGCGCAGCATTGAGCGAGTATAAGCACTGGAGATAGCCCATATAGGATTCACTGCGCAGCCGGGGTGCGAGTGAGTGGAGAAGAGAGACCAGGACAGAGCACGCACGACAAAGCCTGCGTCAGACCTAACAGCACCACCGTATCAGCGTGCAGAATCTCCCATTCTACACCAGGCACGAAGCGCCCCCCACCGTCGCCGTGGCCGTCGACTCCACCCTTCGTACGTGCAGACCCCGTAGCGGACCCCGCCTTCCTAGCCTCCGCCTCAGCCCGCTTGGCGCCCTGCTCTGCACTCTGCAGAATCTTCGTCGCCTCAGCCATGAGGCCCGGCTCCATCCCCAGCGCAGCCTCGAGAAACGCTACGGCGCCGAGCCCGAGGAGGTGGAACGGCGAAGGGTCGGAGGGGGCACTGAATGCCGCACGCGCGCCAACGTTGTCGTTCTTGAACAGCGCATCGAAGCCCGCGGTCGCGGACACCAGGGATTTCGCTGCTGGCGAGAGAGATGCGTCCGCTGCCATTATTGAGACTTGTGCGAGACGGAAAGATGAGTTGCAGGGGTGTCGTCAATGCGCTCGCCGCTTAGTCACCGAGAATGACAGATATCAATGCTTACGCCGGGGTGCCCGCTGATGGGACAGGCTAAAAATAGCAACCCCTCGGCGCTCTTGCACACGATTCGAAAGAAAGTTGCATCGAGTAGAAGGAGGCCAAGGGGTCGAATCGCATTCAGAAATAGTGGCAATTCGAGTTACATCAGCCATAGTTCACGGGAATGGACATTAGGTGTCTCGAGCGCCCAAGTGATACGACCATAAGCTATGGGATATGGAACTGTTGCAAGAAAGATTCCCCCTATTCAGCTTTACAACAAATATATCTCCTGAGACGACTACGGGGCGACCAGAAATAGCTAATTGATTGTGTAGATCTCCGTTGAAACTCGCGCTTGTGTTGCTTCTATGTAAGGTTTCTTAACGAGCGTCAGCCTCGGGAAATCATCGAGCCATCAGCTGACGCTTGGATGATGATCATTTACGGGAGGTTCAAGACGACATTTGCGTCGTCTGCGTGTCTTTTAAGGGGACAAAAAAGAGAGATTTGTCCGTTGTACCGAAGGGGTTTTCAGGTTAAATGGGTGGAGCCGTCGCGTCTTGGACTGAATTTTTGCAGGATTAACACCCGGCCTCAAAATTTAAGTATGAAAAACAAATCACTAAGCTATGTAGACGGGGTCGCGTGAGTTCCCTTGTCCTTCCCAATTGTTCATCTTTCCATTCTTACCAAATTTACTTGGTGAACTGTCGTTCAACTTGTCGTGTTGTCTTATTCCCCGCGTTCTTGAACTAAGAGCGAAATTTCTGGTCCACTCTAGAAGAAAACTGGTAGCACATTTCATACGATCCCTACCGGTGTTGAATTTGATCAATCTACTATGTACCCGAATGAGCGTTCACTGCCACCTATCATAGCATTTAAAAGAATCGATTCTTGCGTTTCTTCAGTAAGCACGACATATTTTTGCGGATTTAGTACTCCCCTTGCCCACTTTTGTGTAAGTTATCCGATCTTTTTGCGTTTCTGCGTCGGTCATGATCCTGCCTCTTCAGTGAATGACGCCGAGGAATGAGGTGGACCGCCTTGAGGCGGTGAAACTTCACCTTCGAGAATAAATCAACAAGAGACGCACCGCATCAACGCAGCCTCAGAGTTCAAGCAAGTCAATATCCCACTTCGACCCATCTTTATCTTTCTCTGAAGATCTGCGAGCGCCTGATCTGACGTGTCCTCGAGACAGTTTATGGACGGCCGTCTAGACTCGCGGTCTCTGATGATGATGAGTACCCGCAGGCGAGAAGAAATCTATCTGGAGTCTGGAATCCAGAATCAGGCGCACAGAGGAATGCGTGCTGCGGGAGCAACATGCTGCAGGACAACCTCAGCATCAATGACCCAGTTCTAGAGACTGAACCGCCTGTCAAGCTCAGTCACTGGCACAGATCTATTTACAGGCATGAGAGAATTCGCCGGAGCTTCGAGTGGAGACGACGAGAGAGCAAGCGGGGCTATCATGGTCACTTGAATTCGGCGGCAATGATAACAATTTATGTTGATAAACATCTATCGGTAGAGAACTTGACAATTCAAAGCATAATTGCAGGCACTGATCTCATCATCGGATCCCAACGCTGGCTGGGAAAATTGGAAATAAAGCCACAGAGGCTGCAGTCCGCACCATACCACGAGGAAGCTTTAACACGGATCGTACAAATTGTCGTTACGAGATCACCGCGCTGCAACCATCTACACAGCGTATGAGTCCTATCGATAAATGTTGCCGGGATCTTGACGGATGACTCAATTGATCTTAGCGATTGCCGACGTTTGAACAAAGCCAAGAGCAAATTTTGCGGGAATACATCAATGCGCCACGCGCTAGCCTGCCCACTGCAAGAGGGTTAAAAGGCCAATGAAATCCGTACCTGCCTCCCCACATTGCTAAACCATGTTGTTCTTCCACCAAGTCTCACTCGCCTCCCTTTTGCTCCTCACCAGCGCGAGCGCTCAAACGCTGTACGGGATCTCCGCCGCGCCGACCCAGACGCAGGGCATCGACTACTTCACGATCAGCACAAAATTAATCGACATCTCTGTGGGCGGCACGGACGCGCAGGGCGGGACGACCTACATTGAGGTGGAGGGGGCCGACAAGCAGGTGGTGACGGTGCAGGGCATCGTTGGGACGCTTCCCGCTACGACGACGACGCGTGTGTTCCTTCCCAAATCTTACCGTAGCTCCCGCGTGTGCTGACGATGGCGAAGAAACGTTTGTCGAAGGTCCGTCTGGATTAGCGGCGACGGTGAAAGTGGGGCAGGCTCTGGGCGGAGAAATAGACGAGTCGTGTACCTGGAGTCCGGACCACACCGGCACGGGCGAGTGCGTGCTGAAGAACAGCCAGGCGACGGTGACGCTCGTGGGCGCTGTAGCGCCCCTGGCCACATTGCCGCTCCACACCAAGAACAGCGCGGTTCAGATTGGGAGTGGGTTTATCACAGGGATGGCCGGCGTCGTCGTTGGTGCAGCAATCGCGCTGGTTTGAGCTGTGAATGGATGATAGAGAGAACCAGAATGTGTGATGTGTGTAAATGACATGCGATGAACGATGAAAAGAAGGAACATATAAGAAAAACGAACGCCTCATTCACCCTCCTCCAACATCCGGAACATTCCCTATGGTCATTGCACGAGAATCAGCCGACGACACACAGGTCTGAGACGGAACAACATACAAGTACGAAATCTTGGGACACTGAATCCCACCCCCACAACAACCGCTTCCTCTTCCTGACCTCCGACGGGACAAAAGAATCTAGACCCCCGACACCCATGATCGCGCGCCGTGGCTCCGCCCACTCTCGGATGCGCGTCCCCGCGTTGAAGATCATCTCGTGCATCGCAACGAGGCGAAGCAGGTGCGGGTTCGCGTGCACAAGTACTTCCAGGGACTCGCCGAGGTCCGCTGGGGTAATCACGATTATCCCTGTGACGTCGCTGAGACAGAATAGTAGCCCAAGGAGTCGGGCGAGATTGATCCCCCTGTTCCGCTGAAACACACTCTCCAGCATCGAGTCTGTGATAGCGCCTTTGCAATCTTTCATCCACCGTCCCCTGGGCTGTCCAAATCACATGTCAGCTGAGCCACACTCCAGAGTCGCTGGTGATGCACCTTCCAATAATGCTCGAACCCTTCAAGGAGTCGGCACCGCACGTTAGAGTACCAATTCTCCTCGCCTCCCGGCGCGAGAGAGCCCAATCGCATGATGAAGTCCGCCACCCAGCTGACGAATGCCGCATCCTGCGTCGCAAAGTCAAACAGGCTCGAGATCGTACTCGCCGTGTCGTATGGAGGCCGGGAACTATATGCTGATAAACGGAGGACGTATCACTGATACGCGATAGTTTGCCGACATAGGATCAATTTCATGATGCGCTCCATGTCATGATGCGCTCTATCTGGACGGCTGAAAACGTTATACTAATGACCGATGTCTGAATCGTGGATGGCCGCTCGGCAGATATTGATCAGATGATTGACGCAATGATCAAGACCCCAGGTAGCCGACTATCGCAATATCGCAACATCGTAATATTCGAAAAGCGCAACATTCAAGATAGTGTAATATTCGAGATAGCGTAGTGAGCATGTAATTACTGTAATTCACTAATCATTTTCGCGGGAGTCTTCCTCATCCGAGAACCATGCGTACAGATCAGGACCAACAGCTTGCCGCAGCTGATTGATACGACACGCACCCGAGCGATCCGTTGGCCGAGAAGCCCTCTAGCAGCGGCGACTTGACACTCAAGTTGGTTTCCAGCATGTACCCCCACTCGCGCTCGATCAGATCAATTGCCCGCTCGCCCTTGCCGGCCACAAAATGCGCTTGGATCTGTCGCGCAGGTGACACGCAAACCACAAACCACCAGCGCAACACGCACCTCGAAGCCACGGCCTGATGGGCGTCCAGAACTTCATCAGCCCGGCGCTCACGGCCTTGTTCTGTGCGTCCGATGTCGTGAGGTTGTACAGGACCGCGAGCGCGTTGCCGTCCTGCGGGTGGATGCTCCTCGGCAGGTCGTTGCTGCGGAACCGGCCCGCCGCGGCGTCCCACAGCAGGCTGTTGAACGCAGTTTTGATCTTGGTCGCGTTGGCGAGGTATGTGGCGGGGAGGGAGACATTGCCGAGATGCGTCGCCAGGTCCGCCGTGGTGACGAGCGTCTACGAGCTTGATGAGCGCGGATACATGATGCGAGAGACAGAAATCAATCCTCACGCGATAAAGCAACGCGTTTGCCGCAGAGTTGTGTCCGGCGCCGCTGGCCCTGCCCCAGTCGTTCGAGAGCGCAGACGAGACGTTCATCAGGCCGGTCAAGTCCACCTGGCCCTCAAGGAAGCCAACCGCCTTGGTGTAGTTCGCCCAGACAGACTTGATGAAATCGAGGTCGCCCGTGTACAGGAAGTAGTTGTGCGTCCCAATGAGCGACCACGAGATGTACGTGTCGCTTCCCTGGTTGTTCAGCGGCGGCCCGGAGTACTGCAGCGCGCCAGTCGTCAGGTTTTGCGTGCGGAACATCACCATCAACGAGTTCTTGGTCGGCTCCATGTCGCTCAGCGCGACGAGCTCCGTGTGTGTGGAGATGCCGCAGTCGCCTGATCCGTCGCATGAGTCCGAGGGTTAGATCGCGTCCATGAGCATGAGGGGTTACCTGGCCAGATGTTCCTGACAGTACCAATGTCATCAGCAGGGATTGCACACACAGATCGCGACCGACCATTCCTCACCTGTCGCGTTTTGCACCATCGACGAGGATAGGCCCAGTGGCAGCTCCTCCCAAGGCATCGTTGGACCAGCCACCTACAAATGTGATCGCACAGTTTGAGTCCAAAATTCAGATCCACGCCGACACGAACCTCCTGCTGGGCACGGCTCCTGTCGCGCCGTGTGGGGAGGGATTGTGTTGGTCTGCACCCTATAGTGCCTGCTAGCGGTCAGCCCCCACCCACGCCACGCTCTGCCACATCAGCCAGCAAACAGGCGATGACGCACCGGCGTACCAGATCTTCGTGAGGCAGTCGATGTCGTGGAACCCGGGGTCAGGTGCAAAGAAGTAGCCCGGGTACGCCCTGAGATCATCCCAGTGGGGCATGAACGTGATCGCCAGCGAGATGTTCGAGATCGTCAGCGGGTCCGCGCTCGCACTCACAATCGTCAGGAAGCGGAACCCGCCGCGCTGCTGTCCCACGGTCTGCGTCAGCAGCCCCGTGGCTCGCGGCACGTGGAACGTCTGGATTCTGTCCCAGTTCTGCAGCCGTGCGGGCTGGCACGAGTCGTCCAACTTGAGCGGGCTGATGAACTCCGCGGACTCGGTGAACGACAGTGAGAACTGCGACTGGGCCGTCGCGTTGTTGATCGTCAGCGACAGGATCCCCCCAAGCTACAGTATGGGTGTGTGAATTGACCCTCGACGGCGCTGTATCAGGGAGGCCGCGCACCTCCTTCCCCAGTCGAACACGACGTACGAACCGCTGCCCTGGAATGTCGCCTGGGAGTCCGGACTTGCGACGAGCCTGCTCGCGCCGGCGACCCGGCCGCTGATCCTATCTCGAATGTTGCGCTTTTCGAATATTACGATGTTGCGATATTGCGATAGTCGGCTACCTGGGGTCTTGATCATTGCGTCAATCATCTGATCAATATCTGCCGAGCGGCCATCCACGATTCAGACATCGGTTATTAGTATAACGTTTTCAGCCGTCCAGATAGGCGCATCATGACATGGAGCGCATCATGAAATTGATCCTATGTCGGCAAACTATCGCGTATCAGTGATACGTCCTCCGTTTATCAGCATATAGTTCCCGGCCTCCATAGTGTCGCCTGTCTGCTGCAGCTTCTTTACGAAGCTAGAAAGCAGGCGTTCGCGGCTTGAGGGACGATGTTCGTGGTCGTGGTCATCCATGAGGACAGACTGGGACTCCGAGGGGTGTTGTAGTGTAGGCTTTGGAGAAAAAGGCCGCTTTGTGCCTTTGTCTTCAATGTCACAATGCTGCTCAAAGAGATTTGTTGATAAGAACACATCGAAGCGGAATCTTGGGAGCCTTGATAGCGGACATTGGCGCTCGAATCTATTCGGTCGACACGATATTTGAGCAGGCACTGCCTCGTTGAAGCTGTGTGGCACACCACGTGAAATGTCGTGAGGTCATTTACCTTCGTGCAAATAGAAGTACATCTCGGTGGTATTACAAAGGCTCACTCAAACCTTCTCCTCAATCGAATCTTCCCTCATATCTGCCTTTCCCTCGGCGGCTGCGACGACCCCGACGCTTTGCTCGTCACCAACCTTATCCATGACGTCGCGGAACATCGGGACAAAGTTGCAGCAGACTGCGTAGGCCCAAGGCACGACGTGGAAAGCGACGGGAACCACGAATCCAATCGCAGTGGAATTGTGCATGTCTGCGACCTTCGCTGTGAGTGGGGGCACTAAAAGACATGGCATCAACATTCAACTGTACGAAGATTCATAGTCAGTCACGCACCACAAGCGCCACCGACAACTCCAGCGATGATCCATCCACTCCCGCGCTTCGTGTGCCGGCCAAGTCCCCGAATTCCCAGCGCGACGATTGTCGGGAAACACACGCTCTCGAAGAACAGACACAGCATGAGCATTGCGAGGCCCTTGTTCCCTGTCTGCGTCACGGACGCCGCAGCAAACGCGATCACGAGCGAGATGTACGTGAAGAACACTTTCCGTGGCCGGATGCGCGTCATGAGCGCCGAGCCAGAGAACCGGCCAGCAGCGAAACAACCCTGAGCACCGGCGAGGAAGGACGCGGCGAGCTGGTTGGTCGTGTTGGCGCGCGTCTCGGTCATGTAGTTGATGAAGTAAGTTGCGAGGGCCACTGCGCGCGGCGTGTGAGACTTATGAAGAGACAATGCGGTTCATACCAGACACACCTTGTGCGCCAGTGTAGCAGAACGACGCAAATCCAGCAAAGAACAACTTGTACTGCTTCCGGAATGGTTTATCGCCCGCGTCTCCGCCCGCGTGAGTTCTCCCAGCTTGTTCGGCCATGTCCGTGTCTACCGAGAGTGAAAAGAAGAAAGAAGTCTCAGTTCGTGTCGGAGAACCGTGCCAAGGCGAACCCACCTGTGACTTCAGGGATAACCGAGAAAAAGAACACGACCGCGAGGCAGAACACGAAGATCGCAATGGCAAGGTACACCCACTGCACCGTCTTAAGCGAGTTGACCGAATCACCCGTCTGCTTGAAGAACACGTAGGATCCCAGGACGGGCCCGATGACCGACCCGATGGCTTGCACGGCTTGGGCAATGTTAATCCGAACCTCGGCGTACTGAGGCGGGCCCGTAACTGATTGTTCGTGTTATTTTAGATTTTCCGCATCGAGAGAGGGAAGAGTAAGCTGCGCACCAGCCATGTAAGGATTCGCCGCGGTCTCCAAACACCCGAGCCCACTCCCAATGATGAACGTGGCTCCACAGAACCCGCCGAAACTGCGCTTGAGCGCCGCCGGCCACATCAAGAGCGCACCGATGCCCTCGAGCACCAGCCCGAGGATGAAGACGGCGCGGTAGCCGTAGTTGCGCAGGACCCAGTTGCCATAGCCCAGGGACGCGAGAGGATAGGCCCCGAAATACGCCGCTTGGAGGCCTGACGAGCGCGTGCGGGTGATATTGAGTGTGTTTTGGAAGTGTTTGTTGAGGGTGTCGAGCAAGCCGTATGCAAAGCCCTGTCGTAGTGGACGGTTCAGAGAATGATACAAGAGACATGGCTTGAGAGCAAATGGGACGCACCCAGAGGAAGTACAGAATCGTTACCAGGAAGAGCGGCCAAAGCGTCTCCCTGAGCGTCAAGTTCGACGCATTCGTAAGTCGGTCCCCGACCTTCAGCGAGTGCACCTTAAACCGTCTCATCTTCGTCGGCGCTGGTTTTTCAGTCTCAGACGTCGGAGTCATTATCGTGAAAAGAGATGGAGATGCACGAGAGAACAGAGGAAATGCCAAGAAGCGGGACAGGGAACGCTCGGGTGGCTTCCGAACTACAACCTCTTACGTTCTTTAAATGTGGCATATAAGGAGCACCGATCCGATGGTGCGGGCCCCGGGGGATCAGCCAAGAGTAGCGAGGAGGGGAGTGAGGAGAAGCGGAAGCTGGAGAAACCAATGATTCCGTACGGTGGAAGCCAAAATGCAAAGTTCTGCCAAGTGAAGCCGGGGATGAGAGGTTTCGGCCGGCAAAAACGCGTGGAGATACGACAAGCGGGGAGATGATAGTATGGAAGGACTCTCCATTTCCTTCTTCCGGACCCTGGGTCCGACAGCTCGCATCTGAGAGCCAGCATCCAACTTACACCCAATCCCTGTCCGGTCCGATGTTGCGAATGTCGCAATTTTTGTCAACCCCACTCACAACTCACGCGAAATAGATGGAACAATTGACAAAGTCCCATTTTCACAAACGAGCTCAGTTTGGCAATCACAACCGCCAAGAGCAGACACATACCCAAAGGTAGATTCATCCGAGTGACATCGACCAATTCTGTCGCATCGATACTGGCTTTGTTGCTTCACAAGTGAATTGTAACAGATGGATTGGCCAGACACCCCTCATGTTGGGACAAGGCAAAGCTTCACTCTTCTCCCTGACGAGTGACTTCCTTCGACGAATCCTTGTGGCTGAACCAGCTTTCTGTTCTCTATCAGCTCTGAGACCTTTTCCAGAAGCACACTGGTCAAATAGGCTTCGGGACCACCGTGAGGAATAGGTTGACCAGTCCGTACCCCAACAACCATCCTATTGAACAGTTGACTCAGCCGGCCTTTTCCTTTGCCACCATTCATGCGTATCCAGCCCAGTCTTTTACCGCATAGCTTGGGACAAACGCGACGCGACAGACGGCGACATCTCCGCATTTCCCGCGAGGCCATTTCTGTGTCATGATCGGATGTGGAATATGATTGATTCCATCGGGGTCGGCAGACAAAAGCTGGTTTGGGCAAGCCAACATTTTGGCTTGTTGGCTAGGTAGATTATGGTTCTTTCTGTTCAAGTCATGGAGCTGCATACACGTATGTCCCAGTTCAGAGAGTCTGCATGTGTATCTCACCATTCTGCCCATTTGGTGCATTGTGCAATTCTATTTTTCTTACCCATCTGCCCACTCCTAATGATCAATCATATGCTATGTATTTTCCTCCCCTCCTGACCCCTGCATATGCCCCCACCCCAAACTGACCAAATGGGTCCTGCTGGGTTGGAACTAAATGATGGCAGTGGTAACTGATGTGGGGGAGGGTGCTCGTGCCTGGGTGGGAGAAAAAGTTTCTCCCCTGGACATCTCAATTGTTCAGTTACTTGAATCAAAAGTCACGAACCAAACACACTCCACACTTAAGACTCTCAGTCGGTGCTCATTCAGCAAGTGAGAGTCAAAAAATAGCCATAATGATTAGATTGGCTGGTGTTGGAGGGAGATCCAGAAACGGAATTTTTTTTTGATGCACTGTCAGGGGAACCCCTCGAGGTTGCCCTTACATGCACTGAGAATGATAAGACATGGAGTGTGACACTGGCCACTATTAATGCCAACACTACGGGAAAAGCACAACACAGCGGGAAATTGATGATCTCTCCTTCCCTCCTTTGGATTTGCTCCTGGTATCCTCCAGAACTTGTAGCTAGCATGCGGAAACCCTCAAGTATCAAATCTTAGATGTATACATAAATGGGAACCATATACAAAATGAGGGCCGGTCCATCATGCCAAGGCTTCAAACTAGGGATAGCTTTCCAGTGACTGTTCCTCTTCATGCAAGGCTCTAGTACTGTGTATGAGACATACCCTATGCATTCTGAAACCATCCCCTTGTCTTGCCGGTGCGTGGTTGTGGAGAACTGCAGGCAAAGTGGATGAGCATTACATTTCAAAGTCTGTGTCATAATTCGATCGCTTTTTCATCATTTCATCAACAATCTTATCTAATCTCAACATTGGGTTAGCTTATCATGGATCACAACATCACACAGTCCGGGTTAGGGATTCAGAGGGGTTATCTGTACAGAGGCTAGGCAACATGTCCTCCAGAAGGTTCTACTACAACCCATGACCAATGCTCAACAAGATGGGTCCAAAGACAGAACTCTTCAAAGGAGATGGAATGGCAGAGAAAGCAAACATCTGGCTAAGACAGCGAGAACAGATGTGGAAGTTTGATGCAAAGGACAACAAGAAGAGGTGGAGGTTTGAGCGTGCACTATACCCAGGAAGCCCGGCGGAGGTCTGGTACAAAACTCTCCCAGCAACAGACAAAGCGGACTGGCTGCAGATCACCATAGCCTTCAAGAAGAAGTGACCACTGCCCTCTTACACAGCACACAAGAACTCTGAGGTGATGAAGGATCTAACAGAGAATGGGTTAGAAGCAAAGCCAATGGGAGAGATGGTGGAAGACAAAGACAGGACGCGCATCCCGGCCCATCAAGCATCGGCGCAGATTGCAAGACACCTCATCAACAACCTACAAGGAGGCAATCCTTCAATGCTGCTAATGGGTGAGATACAGGCAACCTTGCCCCCAGGCTTTAGCTGCCTGATCTCAGAAGAGGCAATGAAAACAACATGGGACTCCTGGTTTGTGGTGTTTGAAGCAATCTCAATCTACCCCATTAACAATTGGATGGCAGAGAACCGGATTGAGCAACAACAAGGCCCAGCGGCAACCCCAGGTCCAACACGGGAAGGAGCAATGCACATTCCAGTGTTGAATACTGACAGGAATGCTGTGCCTTTGCATCAAGATCATTCCCAAATGTTCTCAAAGCATCTTACTGATACACGACTCAGTCAGATACAAAATATATAAGGCAGTAGAATTACTTTTCCGATACATGACTATGTGTTATATAAATCAGGAGAAATCCCAAGCACAATAGATTTTATCCCACTTAAGATTCTCATCCGTTCATCAGGTTATGAGCCCCGGCCGTAACTCAACATCTCTCGTACCTGCTTTACCCATTGCATATCAAGCACTAGCCTGATCAGCTCAAAACGATTTAATTTCACTGTGTCTTAAATCACATATATCCAATGTTGACTGACACATCTACATCTGCATACCAGATCCAGCATCTCCTTGGCAAGGAAAACTATCAGACCTGGGCTGTCAAGATCACTGACATCTTGACCGACCTCCAGCTCGAAGACTACCCAAAAGGGCAGCTCCTGAAGCGCAGCAGTGTTGTCCCTCCACCCATCACCATCACCATCCCCGATGGCACCACGACCACCATCACATCCTCCATCACTGTCTCCACTGCAACTGCCAGCAAATGGGAGCGCAAGGACCGCCAGGCCCTCTCCGCAATCCGTCTCCGTGTAACCAATGGTCCGCTGGTTTACATCACCAACGCAAGCTCGGCAAAGGAGGCATGGGACGTACTTGAAAAAATGTACCACCCACGGGTGCCTGCGCAATTGTCCTCCTTCATCGGAAACTCCTCCATCTTGTGGGCGCTGAAGGGGGAGACATTAGGGTGTTTCACAAAGCGAGTCGGGCGCTTTTTTGAGGCGTTTTTTGATCAATTTTTGAGACCCTTTTTTGGAACATCAAAAAACGTTTTTCGCGAAAAAGTGTAACGAGCAGAAACACCATCATGGCCTTTTCTGCACGAGTGCTCTTTTTTGCTTTGTTTTTTCTCATTTGTTTTTTTTACTTGCCGCGAGTGATTCCAATGAAGTAAGCAGACTACCAACTACACATCTGGCAAAAAAATCGTCCTCGTCTCCTACATCTGCTACCGTTGAAATGCTGAGGGCGTGCTCACAAGTGAATCTACTATGAAAGTAAACCCAAATATAAAACACGTTCACACTCCTCGTAATCAGCTTCTCAGTGTGTGAAAGATGCGAGGGCTTCGGGGTGGACAGAGCACCAGTATCACAACTCTCAATGGACGCAGATCCAATAGTCGCGGAGACGGAGTCGACGACAAGGATATATATATATAGCAAACAATGGTGTCTCAACCAATATCTTCTATACGATCACAACCAACACTAATCCAATCCACAACAACAATATAACAAGTCAGAGCTTAATACGAAGTATTAAGATCCCTTGTAGCGACAGCGTCTAGATGGTGACGCAAAGCCCAAATATCAAGTTGACGCACTGCCAACCGATACAACCAATATACTGAGTCGACGCACTGCCAACTAGTAAACCAAAATGTCAAGTCGACGCACTGCCAACTGACAAAACCAAAAGTACTGAGTCGACGCACTGCCAACTAGTAAACCGAAATGCCGCGTCGACGCACTGCCAACTAACAGCCAATATCCAATGTCCAAAACCCGAGCACAACTTGTCGACGCACTGCCAAGCAAGAAGTGTGGAACCAAAGTTCTCAAGTCGACGCACTGCCAACTGACCAAAACAACCCGAGCACAACTAGTCGACGCACTGCCAAGCTAGAGGTGTGGAACGATCTCAACAAAGCCCGAAGGCGACGACACTAAATGCCGCGACTAAACCAGATGCGGCGAATCCGACTTTCTGATGTCTCAAAACTCAAAACTCAAATCACAGTAGCTACAAGTGCTCAGGGAGCAACTCGTCGCGACCGGGCAGGGATGGCAGAACTTCTTAGGGTGGAATCACGCGGCACGCAAATTGTACAAAACAATCTGAAATGATAGTGATTCACAGTCCGGGGGAAAGCTCCCCAATACAAAGAAACGACGTGCTACTTATACTGTCTACGACGCTGCTTAGTAAAGTCCTGTACAACTGCATAGTAGCTACGCTATCTAAGATCGGTTGCCTTTTAGGGTAATTGAAAAGTTGAACGATCGGACAGGTCCTGAGTGATCAGGACCCCGCCCCATTGTCCCTATGATACTTTTGATGTGGGTCAACCCACCGCGTCATACTTTTGGAATACGACGTGTTGGATTGGCCAACGGGTATGTCTTGGCAAGTGAGACCAACGTGGGCGCCCCAAGAAGCCGTATGGCTCTAGGCACGCCAGTCGCCTCCCACATGGCTCGGTTCACGGATCTAGCCGTATCGATTTTAGTGTGTTTGAATATGGGCGCGACTCGCCGTGACACTTGGAAGTGTCGCCGCGACGCGTCCACAATGTCCCGTGATCGAATGGATCCTGACATGTGACAAGTCGTCGTCGTGGCATGATCTGAGGAAAACGTCCAACTCAAAAACCGGGAGTTGCCGCGACAAGATGGTTTAAGTCTTGTAACGCCAAGTCCTGTCCAGTAGTAGTTCTATTATTGAGAACGTCGCACATTGCTCAGCCCTTCAGCCCAAGTTCCCATCTGCAGAGAATGACCCTTTTTGAGAAGTTGACGCAACGACATATCCCTTTTTGGGGAATGGTCGCGGTCCCAGCGTTCGTCACTAATGGCCCTGAGCCTGGTGTAGACTCATAAGACCAGTTCCACAGTAGTGGTCTGACTGCCTTGCTATCGTCGACACTATCCACAGTCGTCGACTGGGCAGTAGACCCTTAAGTCCTACTGAGCGCAACACTGTCAACCGCGACACGATACACCGAATGGTTCAAGAGTAAACTCTGTAAAAAGCGCAAAAATACGCCCTTACAGAGCTGGTGCAGAGCGCGTCTGGTAGCCAGCCTATCATCTCCCAGGAACACTAATTTTGACCTCCTGGTCAATCCCGCGACAGTCTCACTGCGTCAGGTCTAAGTCCAACAGTCGACGTCTCGTTCATTTATTATTAAAGCCGCGGAGACATAGAGTTATGTTCCCACGTCTTATTCATTTGGTTGTTCGGTTCCTTCCGTGATCTGCCGCGATCAAACTTCTTCCGGCATGTTCACCATATAAATGCCCTCAATTTTCAGGGTCGAGAGTCTCCCTAGTACGAGACACTCTTGCCTTTTGACCACCATGTCCGCGCCCGACCAGAGCCCCCGCCCCCAAGACACCAACCGTGAGTGACGCCCAAGGCGATTACCGCGACTTTTCAACCACGCTAACCGTCCATCAGCCGTCACCGAATCAGCTGTCTCGGGAGCAAACCTGCCTGCCATTGACTGGCGGCAGTTCATGCCGTCCGTCAAGGTCTCTCCCATGGCTTGTCGACTCAACTCACCACCTGCCTAGCCCCGAGGCCTACAACCAGATGTTGCGGCAGATGGCCGTCGACGTCCGCCAGATCCAACAGGTGAGCCCCGTCTTAAGCCCGCTGGAGCGAATAGTCACGGCGATCAATGATTGCCGCGTCTGTTCGCTTTGGCCTTCCATTCTTTTCACTAACGTAAGGGCTAGCCGGCGCCTGCGCCCTTGACCACCAACGCTCCAGTCGAGGAGTCGTCGCCGCCCAAGAAACGCAAGCGAGTCGTCGAGCCCGTACGTGTAATCTGTTTCATTCGTTTACTATGTTCTGATCGACCCCCAGGCGGCTCCAACCGAACAAGTCGCCGCCCCTTCGTTGTCCCGGCCTGCCAAGCAGAAGGGGAAGGGTGACGGCTCCAAGCCGCAGGCCCCTGCCGCCGTCGCGGGCAGCAAGGTCGCCGTCGCCAAGAAGTCGAGCGAGAAGTCGCAGGGGAAGCGACCCAAGGCGACTCCTGCGAAGGAGCCCAAGGCGTCGTCCCACGCGCCTACTCGTAAGTGGCTCTTTCCTTTCATTCACCAGAGTCGCGGGTACTGACTTGTCGTAGCCGCTACCTCGGCCCCTATTCCACAGGAGTCACCTCCCAAGCGCGTCCACAAGAAGACGCACGCAGGTGTGTGATCCTATGTCTTATTTCATTGATCTTTAGACTAACCACTTGGTCCCTCCCAGCCCGGATCCAAGCACAGCCCGTGCAACCCGAGTCCCTCAGCGATGAGGAAGCCGCCGCCGTCGCCGACACTGCGATGGATGTCGACGACGAGGGGGTCCAGGAGGGAGACGCGTCATCGGCCGACGAGCTGGTCCTTCAGGTAAGTGACCCAGTTCGTCGACCGCGATTCTTTGTCTCATGGTTGGTTTGTTTTTGACAGGGGCCCAAGTCCAAGGGGAAAGCGCGATCGAATCTGAGTACGTTTTCCTCTTGTCCCCCTCTGTCGTTTACTCATTCTTTCGTAGCCCCGTCCGTCATCGTCATGGACGACACCTCCGAGAGCGGAGAGGAGACCGGCGATTTCGTCGTGGCCAAGAAGCAGGTCAGCGAGACCCGCGTCAAGCCCAAGGTGAGCCGGCTCCTTTTTCCCAGACCACGCCCCTTAATCCAGCTTTTTAGCCAATCAAGAAGGTCGCGGATGGATCATCCAAGTCGACCAAATCCGTGCCTCCCCATCCGGTGCCGAAGGTGGAGGCCAGTCGCAAGGCGAGCGCCCCGCGAGCGACGACTACCCCGACCCCAGTGGCTAAGGTGAGACACAGACTTGATTCCCAGACGTCGACTAACTCGTTTTTCTTTCTTTTCTAGGTTGCCCAGGCGGCCCCCGCCACTACCAAGACTCCGCGCAGTGAGTTGGGCAGGGTGGCCGCGACCCTTGGTCGCGAGCGGAGTGTTGCGGCGGCCAAGGCCGAGCTCAAGGCTCAGAAGGCAGAAAAGTCCGTTGCGGCGGCCAAGAAGAAATCTGACTCGGTGAGTCGCGACTTTTTCTGGTCGTCGACTTTTTACTGACTTGACTGTTTCTAGACTCCTGCGAAGGCGTCGGCCCCCACGCCCCGAGCTCCGTTCACTCCCGCCGCCTACGACACCGAGGCGCTCCTTTCGGTGGCACGCCAAGGGTTCGCGGGGAAGTTGGAAAGGGCCGGTATCGAGGTGCCAACCGACTTCGTGCGTTTCTTTATCTTTTTCTTCCATGCCTCGACGACTGATCCCCTTTTCATAGGAGGTCGCGCCAAGGCCCTGCGCGATGTGCGTGACGCGGCAGCGCGTCTGCTTCAAGAGCGTCGACGGGCGCCACGGCAATCGGTGCGCCCCGTGCGTGCTCTATAAACAGACTTGCACCAACGGCTACAAGCCCGCGGAGCAGCTGTATATGGGGCAACGCTTCGGGTACATCGCGCAGATGAGCGCGGACGGTAAGAGTCCACTCTTGCCATTCATTTCTATTTTTGATCGTTTCTGACGACGTCTTCAGATCTCAACAAGTCCGCCAACCGTCTCGCCGACACCTTGGACGCGTACGGCGGGCTTCTTCGCACGGCCAACGAGATCCGCGTCCTGGCCATTGGCCAGTTCCGTGATTTCGTTGGTCAGCTGAAGGAGCACTTCGACGACGGCTCGGACGAACGCATCAAGGCGATGTTCGTCCACACCGCGACCGAGATCGACGCCGCCGAGATGGCCGACATCCGCAAGGGTGTTCGGATGATCTTGGCCCACGGGGACTTGTTGGATGGCGAGGCGAACGAGCGGTTCGCGGCGCCTCCTGCCTTTTTCGATCCATTTTTCTATCGCGAGATGGAAAAGATGGAGAAGCAGTTCCAGAGGGAGATCGAGAAGGCCCAGGAATTCGACAAGTCGGACCCCGCGACCATCCAGGATCAAGCGTTCCAGCCTGGCGAGGACCACGAGATCGACGTCGCGCACTTGGCGAGTAGTCGTACCCGTGCGCCCTCTTCGTCGCCCCAGCCTTCGCCATCGCCGCCTCCTGTTGCGTCGTCGTCCCAAGCCGTTTTACAGGTCTTGGATTTTTCCGACAGCTACAGCGAGACCTCGGCCGAGTCCACCAAGGCCGCTTCGGATGAAGATGCGGAGGGTGAAGAAGACGGGTCTGCCGGCAACGAGAACGCCGACAACGGGAAAGTCGACGACGAGAACGTCAACGACGAGAACGTCGAGGACGAGGGCTCCGTCGCCGCGGGTGAGACTGCCATGGAGGTGGATGAGCAGTAGTTCAGCTCGTTCCACCGTCCGTGAACGTCGCGGCCCCGAATTTATTTATTACATGCATCATCGTATTGTCGTCGTAGAACCATCCAAATCTA